ACACACACACACACACACACACACACACACACACACACACACACACACAAAATTGGAATTGTCGAACCTCCTACTTTTTTTAAGGCGGTTAATAATTTCAGATAATTTTGCTCGAACTAACGCTATCACCAGAGATTGGAAAAAGGCAGAGTATATTTACCTAAACTTATAATTACTACACGTAGAGCGAATAATACATTCTTTTCTTTATTTTTGATATGCTATTGAGTAATTTTCAGGGTAGTTTTCGCTATCTAATTTCGATGGCAATTTTTATTATTTAATTAATAAATTTAATATTAAATAATATTTCTGAATACTACATTCGAATATTGAATAATAGTTCATAATTTTCTAGAATATTCAAATAAGAAAAATAGCCACCGAGAGAAAGCTAACCTTAAAATTACCCAATTACTTAATATTATGATAGTGTAAAAGAAAAGCATTTTAATTTTAACAATATAACAATTTTATAAGCGAGAAAGCACTTTATATACTAACGGAGTGACTATCGCCCGGCATAACGAGAAACAACTCACTCTTACGAAGAAATTCCTTGACGTAATCAATGGGAATGGCGAAGGAGATGCCCGAAGTGACCTTCATACTGTTGATGCCGATGGCTTCACCGTCAAGGTTCACCAGCGGCCCTCCACTGTTGCCAAACGTGATTGGTGCATCCGTCTGGATGTATACCATGTCTTTGCCTGTGATTTTACAATAATAAAAAATATATATACAGGGTGAAATCATTAGAAATATCAAAAACCAAAGGTTTCAAAATGCGTATGTAAATTAGATGGCATTATTTAAAAAAATTCAGCATGTTTGTTTTTTCGTTTAATTCATATCGTACAGTCGAAAAGAGAACATCGGGCTTGAAACTTCGAATTAAATCTTAAGTGTCTGTCTCGATGTCCTTTTGGACCTGTTCAACACCATTCAAATAACTAAACCTTTACTAGAATCTAATTCTGTACCTTAACTCTTTCCATAATCCAGTTATTGCTGTATTATTAATTGAGTAACACTGTATCTTACTTTTGTATATTGTATATACATGGTGTAGTCGTAAAATGTGCCCAGGCGATTATTCCATAAATACAAGAGATATCAAAAAGCTTTTAACTGTTGTCAAAGGTACGTTACCTAATGAGTAAAACGACATCAATAACTTTTTTAAATAAAACTAGAAATATCTAAAATTTTAACTATAACCGATCCCATACATTCAGAGAGGCTTTCAACAATAAGTTTGTGGGCGTAGCCCTAAACGTCATTCATGTTTCCGGCAATAGTCGGAAGCCATTCATAAAAGTCACTCCCTTTTGGGACGCGCTATGCAGCGGTAACGCATACCGTGCGCCGCGCCGGCGAGGTATATAAAATGTTATATACCAGCGATAGGTGAAGTGCCGTGTAATACCCAAACAATACAGTGAATTATCGAACACGTCACGGCGTTCCCTTTCGTGTCACTCCGGCATTTCCCAATAGTTTATTGATAACGAGACTGCTATAAATAAAGTAATAAAACTAAGAATATATAATAGAATAACAATAATCTCAGTATAGAGTACTAAAAAACCAACCTCAAAAGTCATTCATCCCCTAGTTTGCCACCCTTAGAGGTGGAATATTTTCTTCAAATTTAAATGGGACCAGTACTGAGGAACCTTCTTTCCAAAAAAAAAATGATCATCAAAATGGGTTATCGCGTAACATACATACAAAAAACATACAGTGGAACTGAGATCTCCTCCTTTTTTTTGAAATCAGTTAACAAAGTGGTGTTTATTTTTGAGTACAAAATTTTGCATTCAAAGCAGTTCGAAGTCGAATTATGACCTCATCCATGAGAAAGTTCCTTGCACAATTCCCAGTGGAACCAATTTAGAAAATCTCATAAATAGTAAATTATCTACAGCGATCTGATATTATAGAAGTATAAAAAAGGCCTGTTAAATGAATTCGGAACTTTGAGAAGATGACCATCACTGTCAATTAGTTAACATTTTACCTTAATGTTAGGTCCATCGTCATTTTTCATGATAATGCTAGTATTCACAATGTTATTGAAAAAAGCGTTTGGTGTTTGTGGAACTTGTGAAAATTACTTGTTGTAATTGGATTAGCAAAAAGTTTATTTTGAGGACAATGACACCGTTCTGCTCCGTAACCTTCTTACCTGTAAAACAGCCTGATTTTCAGCGTGAGATGTCAATTCTTATACGTTTCGAAACCAAGTCTATGCTTTCCAAAGGAAATTGTCTTCTATGTTTCATTACAAACTCAGCTTGCTTGCAAATTTGGTTAGGGGAGAGAACTAATGTAACGTTTTAAAGTTGATACTATACCTCAGCACGAATTAAAATTTTTCCCATATTGAGACACTGGCTTTATTTCAGAATTTACTTTTACAAATGAAATTAAGGCCATTTGAAAAACACATATCGTATAGTATACGTGTTTAGTTCAGTTGATATAAAAAAATCATTGGTATATGTAAAGTACCTAATACAGCGGTTTTCTTGTAAAATTTCAAGGTAAGTTTGTGCTTTTTTTTCTATCACGAAAATATCAGTTTATTGCCAATAGTTCCAGGGACTCAGTTCCATGTGGAACAATTGTAACCTTAACATGTCATAATTTTATTATTCTTATAACTTCCATTTTTAGGAATCGTGTTTTCACACTGTATAGTAATCAGTGAATATCCTCAATTTTAAAATATTTTTTTCCAAAGAGATTGATTCAACACTAACTGTTATTCAGAATCAACAAATGCCATTTAAAGTTGTATAGTCTCTTTTACCTCTTAGCCCCAACTCTTCACTGGCTCTCTGTGTGGAACTGACTACTCCCGCGGTCACTGTATTGCTTAACGCTAGAGGACTGCCCATCGCCACCACCTGTAATGTACAAACAGTCTTTACAGCTATTTATTGGAATGAAAACCACAAAGGGTTAATAGGGATGGCATTCAAATACAAAGCTTGGAACTAACAATTAATAATACAGTTTATAAAACTTCAAATTTTTTTTCATAGTGCCAAATGACTGGACGAACAATTCTTGCGTCTGGTACTAAACCACAACAGTTACAGTGCCACCCAGAGATTTAAATCTGAGATAAACAAATTACTTTGAAATAGTCAAATTGATTAAACACTGTAACTCATTTGTAAGGCAGACTAGGGGTTGCCCTTTGTCAATAGATCGATCCCTCCTACATAAACAATTGTAAGTTACCTATTTCTGTCGCCAAGCAGTAATGTCATCATTACTGTGTTCCGGTTTTGAAGGGTAAGGGTGCTGGTGAAATTACAGGCACATGCGACGTCAAATTATGTCTCAAGTGACGGGCGCAGTGGTAGTACCCCTCAGATCTTTGCAATGTAAAGCTCTGAGTGGCAATGTAATTGTTATGGACAGACGTGCGGCTTACTATCAGGGGCACGGCTTGTTCGTCCCGTCACTTGATATTATAAAAAATTAAAAAAATTACCTTATTATTATACCTTATTATATTAATTATTAATTATATACGACCTACTTAAAAAGAAATCGATTTATGAAAAAAAAAATACCTTTTATGTGGCTGAGGATAGATTTAGTAGGAGTCAATATCTATTGACTGAGATGTGTTTACTTCGAATTTTAGATTCTATTTGAAGTTTCACACTTTACAGCAGGTGGAGCAGGGTGAAATTACTATGGTATGTCCTACCTCATTGTCAAGAGAAGCCTACTCCAATTTGATCATTTTTCATGCTATAATAATAATAAAATGCCACACATTCACACTAATTACTTAGCCTCATACACATCTAACCTTCAGAGTGTCAAAAACTTCAAGTCAAGAAGTCAGGGCAATAGTTACAATTTATTTTATTCTCTTTATAAAATTCCAAATAAATGTTTTTTATGAACAAAATACAAACCCACTCGCCAGGCTTCAGGTCGTTAGAGTTTCCAAGCTTCATGGTTGGTAAGCCTGTGACGGGAATGCGCAATGTGGCCAGGTCTGACCGGAGATCCACATCTTCTACGAAGCCTGTGTGTGTGGAGCCATCCTGGAAATTTATGAGAGCAATATCAACTACAAAACAGTCCTCAAACCGGTTTGGCATTATGCATAGTTGCAAAACTGTGGGGATCAGCAGAGATATTACAGAGATTCTTAAATGGTGTGCTCAAAACTCTGGTAAATGCTCCTGGTTCACAAAAATGGATGATATTCTTGATTATTTGAAAATCCCTACTGTCAAACTGGAGTAACATGACAAAAGCCTATAAAGACAGAATCTCACGACGTGAAAACAGGTTTGCACAAGCTTTGAACAAACCTCTAAGTAACAGACAATGAAGAGGCGCCACATGTGAAATTGGAATTGAAATTGGAAAGATAAAGGCAACCTAACCCAGGGCGGGCGACCCTAATGCGCCAAAGAGGTCACAACAAAACAATTGCTCATGGACCATGAACTGATTGCACATTGCAAAAGGCATTAAAAAAATGTAATTGCAAAAATATAAGTATAGTTATTAAACAAAAATCGAACATAAAGACGCAAGTTACGTCTCTGGCAGGTAAGTAATACTCGACCGAATTAGAAGATGAATGATGCAATGATGAATGAGTGAATATTCAACTTCATCACAATAAATTTAGAGATCTGAAACCTGAGAACCTGGAGTCTGGAACTGAAACACAACACAAAGTCCCCACTCATGACACAGTTTGCCTTCTCTCTCTTCGTTTGGGTTGAACATTTTGTTCGATGGAGCATTCGTTCGAAAGAACCTTCGTTCCATCGAACCCAAAAGTCAAGCAGGTTAACGGATCAGTGAGTCTATCATTCATCCTAATTGGTCCGTGGCATAGTGTCCATGACATGTAATTTTGTAATGTTTAATCCGTTTTTCGGTATGTTGTGATTATTTATGAGTGCACTAGCTAATATAAAATATTAATGAATAATAAATTAGTAATTTTGAATACTCTTAAGTTTTTTGTTATGTATTTTTGTTGTGTAGGTGTTACTTTTCTTAGAAAGAAATTCAGTGTCCTAAGTGTGGTTTATCAATGATGATTTAAACTTTATACAAATTACTCATTAGCAGGCAAGAATAAAAGAGCTAATTGTATAATGTTACACTTTTAAACACCTTATGGAAGTATTGTGAGCAACGAGTGACCTGCTAAAAGATGAAACACATGATCAAATCACTTGACCCAATCATTACGCATGGATCATGAACAACAAAAAAAAAAAAAAAAAAAAACCTGAGTTATCAAAAATGATCGACCAACACAAGTCTAACATAATTATGATGTACATAAATGTTTATAACAAACATTGACTTACAATTATATGGACGTCAGGTCCGCGCTAAAAAGTGTCCGAACTTATAGGGCGTTAAAATCGTATACAGAGTGTCATTCACGCTTTAGTCTTCGTTTGTTCGACTGACAGCGAAGCAAGCAAAATTAGACAGTACTGCAATGACATTGCAATTTAAATTCAACATTTTAGCTTTTTCATATTCAGGTTGACTTGGGACATTTTTTTCGTGGTTTTTGTATAAGACCCGTCGTCCATTTATTTGTAAGTCAATGATAACAAAAGTCATATTAATTAAGAAAATAAATCTAAAGGCTTAAGATAATTTGGTTGATCTGATTTGAATAAGTCACTTAGCGTAGACATCAATTATGGATTATCAATTACGGAATAGGTACATTAAGAATTAAGCCTTGTCAATATGATGTATTGTTTTAGCCACAGATATACTGAGTTATTTATATATATTAACACTCTCACAGGACAATAGTACTAACATCATAATCAGTAACTTTAGTACAATGACTTTTTACAAAACATAATAAATTTACCAAAACTCCGACCGGCACTCCTGCGTTTTGCGCCGAGTTATCACCATTTAGAGCGACCTATTATTACAGACAAGGAACAAAAGTTGTTGTTTATGATGATAGTAATATAGTCCTGCGTGGTTGATAGTTTTTACGAATAACCCTGTATAATGTATATGTCTAAAGCCACTATAAAAATGTTGCAAATGCATACTCACCATTAGTCTAACAGTAACAATAGAATTAGGTTTATTCACAACAACATGAGCATTTGTTAAAATTAACCCATCCTCTTTAACAATGAACCCAGAACCGTTGGAAAGCGTAATGGGTTGCCCAGTAAATATATCCACACGTCTACCATCTTTTATTTCTATATACACAACAGACGGGCCCGAAACAGCCACCACGTCTGCTATAAAATTAAACTTCTCTCTTCTACCGCGTAAGTCAATGTTATTATTAATTTTTTTTGCTGCACATAACTTTTCCTTATAAGAAACATAACCTATAACTCCAGCGGCAACCAAAACCCCGCCTAAATAATAACTGTTTCCACGTTCGCTGTGACCACTGGAAGTAGGTGCAACTCGACTACAACACCTAGAATTAATATTAATTATTGGTTTTATGCTAAAAATACGAGAAAAATTTCGCGTGATGGACATTGTTGTCACACTAAAAATGTCAAACAACAATTCTCTTCACTCCGTCAGATTGACATTAGATAGAGATGTTATAGCAATAATAACAAAGTCGATAACGGTTTATTTCGTTATGTTATTCATTCATTCATTTTAACCATAATGCAATGTACAAACGCCAACACATCAAGCTACACATTGACGTATCTTGTTCCGTTGCAATGGAGGCGAATTTTGGAACAAAAATGTGTAGTCTGATGTGCCGTTGTCCATACGTACATTATTAGTTTGCTTTGTTTTAAAGCTGGCTAATTCAAAATTATATTTAATTTTGTCTAAATGAACATTTTCCATCTTCTAGTACAGTCAGCAACATAATTATTTACATTTGGACAACGGTCTTAAGTTTTGTCGTTGTGATATAGAAATAAATTTAACCATCATGTACAGCTGTTTTTTTATAATACCAAATGACGCGACGAACAAGTCGTGCGTCTGGTGCTAAGCGACACGCCAATCCATAAGCATATATGGCACATACAGTGCTCTTAAATCGCAAAAATCTTAGGGGACTGCCACTGCTCTTGTCACCTGAGATTTTTTTTTTTTTTTTATACATGACAGGCAAATGACTCCACTCCACCTGATGTTAAGTGGAAAGTGGTATCCAAACGCGAAGGAACCTAGTGCAGCGAAAGGTTATGTTATTATTAGTTAACAAGTCTCATATGCCTGTAAATGGCCTGTAATTTCACCAGAGCTCAGCGTCGTATTGACCGAACTTTGAAATATGAAACTGTGAAAGGGGTTTGAGTATTCACACAAATCAAATATTTTGAGAGTTTGATAAATCCTAAATCATTTATAGCAAAGAAATATTTAGTTTGATTGAAAACGTGGATCATTTTAACATTGACTGTGTTACGAGTATTTTAAAAGCTTCATTAAAAAATTCACAGATATTAATAGGTGTTGGTATTGTATTGGTAAGTGAGATTCTGTTATCAATATTTTTAAATTTTCAATAATATTTTTTAGCTGTTCGGTCAAGAACACGTTAAAACCTTGCGTTTAAAATATTGATAAATTTTTAACCGATTTCAAAAAAGGAAGAGGTTCTCAATCCGGCTGTATGATTCTTTGTGTATATGTTACGCGATAACGATTAATAACGCGTGATAAACGCATAATTTAACGCGTGGGCCGATTTTGATGTTTCTTTTTTGTTGGAAAGAGTGAATTCAGAAGTGGTTTTTAAATTTGGAAGAAATATTCCACTTGTAAGGGTGGCAAACCTAGTTTGCCTTTGTTTGTTATCGAGTAGGTACTAATTTGAAAAAATGAGTTTTTATTTTGTATAAAAATGTATTCAACACCATGAACACTGTCACTGTACGGATATTATTTTGATTAATTCGAATGGGCTTTCTATGCTCTGCCGTTTGATATTCACATTTTCTTTCATGAACATATCTAATGAAATTTAAAAGACATTAAAGCGAACTTTTGTAACCATAGTATGCGAATTGATTAACATACATACAAACGGATACGATCCTAAAAACATGATTCACGTCTTCCGGAGAATTCTCATGCTTTCATTCTAAATTGCAGGATAAAATAATTTAGGTAAAATAATTTAAAGAATGATATGTATATATAATGGCTAGGTGTATAATAAAAAAAATATACATAAAATTTAGTTTAATTATAAATGTATGTTACAGGATATGTCACGATTTATTTAATTTCCTTACGTACAGCCAAGAGCACGTCTTGACTTGAGCTTGACACTTTGAACTTTGGACCGTTCTTATCGTAAGGGGCATAGAGTTGGATTTAAATATTAAGTGTCAAGCTTGACGTGCTCTTGACCCTGTACACACGGCCACGTACCATAAAACACACAAATACTCACTTTGCAATTTAAAATCTATATTAATGTATCGTAACTTTTTTATTATAATTTGTATGATTTAGCTGTGGCCCAGTTTACCTATATCTACACTAGATCCATAATTACAGTATGTACGTATTTAGTAAATTAGGAACTAGAAGTCTTAAAACTAAAAATATTAAAATTAATTTTTAGAAACAATTTATTTTACAAATATATATATACATATATATTTATATTATTTTACTATTAGAATGACTAAAAGACAGGTTAATAAAAATTGTATAGAAAATACGATTTGTTAAAATCGTACATTTACAATAAGCAGATTATTTTGGTAAAACAATTTTTTATTTAAAAATGGGTTTATTTTTCATTAACTCGAAAACTCTTAACATGGCATGGTATTCTTACGAAAATAAACACCATTTCTTCAAGAATCGAACGAAATTCTAATAGAAATATTTAAGTATTTAATATTTTAGCTTTAGCTTAGAAGAAATTGCTACGTATTCTGATATACGTACTTATATTGCTGTTTTATGTCGTCATTATAATTGTAATGTCCATTAAAGCTTACAAATACTTCATTCATTCGTTCATTCAAAAATTGTCGGCTATTATTATAACCTGCATCAGCTGTTCATTTTATACAGGTCAAAAAAATAGAGAAACAAGTTTCGTCTAACAATACAAATACATTACCTATCTTTTACGTTTTTTTACGTCACTTATTACTACAAATTTTCTAGGATGATCCCTGTGACATTTCACAAAATTCTACACAATATCTGCCGTCCACTGACTAAAACGCGGTTAAGTGACAAATGGTCAAATATCCGTTTTAAATAGAAAAAGAAGACAAAATTATCTTTTAAAAACAGTTAAAATTAATTAACGTATTTGACTTATCGGAACTTTCCCTAACGATGCATAGCTGAAATATTATTAAACAATTTCAATTTTCTGAAAACGGGGTTATGGTTTTTGTATAGTATCTCCAAAATATATTTTGTGCGCGGACGGCATAATATAACCTTGTAACGATGTCCACTAATTTAGGTATTTTATAAACTATTTTTATAAGTCTCGCTTTTAAGTGAATAGATTTTGTATGTAAATACATAATATTAAAGTAAAAGTTACGTCAAATTAGTGAGTAATAAATAGAGAAACATTTTTTTTTAAATTAATTTATCTTTACGACTACGTACAAAGGTTACTTCATTAGGCTGCATTTGCTAAGGATGAAGTGCATCGATAAAAAGTTTTCGATGATTTAATGAATAAATATATAGTGCGTACACGAGTTTAACCTATTTAGGTAGTTAGTGACACGATATTATGACATGATATTAATGTTTTTAATCTACATTAAGACTCTCAAATTTATTAAAATATCAATTGAAATGACATTTGAATTTAATTGGGTGTTTTATGCCTTCAATGCAATACAAAACACTTTATACAGACCATTACGCGATCAATATAATCGCGTAGATGCACTAGAAATTACTGCACTTGGCTGTTGAGGACAATCTTGTGTCATGATCAAAAGTATTCTTGAACAATTTCATAGATTTTAGGACGCTATAATTGGTTGCATATGCAATTATTATTGTTCACCTATCGCTGACGATGACTATTGGATCATAAACAAAAACTGCATTTACATTTAATTTATTTCGTCTCCGGTACCTACTCCATAGAAATATCGGATCGGATATCAAAAATAAAATAAATAATATTTATACACAATTCAAATTTTTTAATTTTATTTTAAAGACTCAATTTTTTTAAATCCGTTATATTATACAAGGCTGTATAAGAGAGAATCTTTTTCTAAACCAAAAATCTATCGACTTTACCTCATCCCTATACAAACGGTAAATGAAGTGTCGGGATTCGCTCTGGACCTTTTGGAGGGAAAAGTGTCGTTTTTATTTTGACTTTAAATTATTTTGTGAAATCTAGTTGAAAGCGGAATAAGATAGTGCTATTGTACCTTAATCGAACATTAAAACGCGAAATTACACGAATCTCGAACTTGAATACCCGTATCGACCTGTTTTAAGGAATCCCGAGTCAATCCAAGCACGCCGCCTCAAATTGCCTATCCTCTTTGTGGCGACCATATTTACAGAAACATAGTTAAACTTCATGTTTAGGCTGATGGCTTTGCCAAAGCCTTAATAAAAAAATAAATAAATAAATAAATGAAGTGTCACAGGGATCATCCTAGAAAATTTGTAGTATACTTTTTTTTATTATGTATTTTATGTGTGTGAAATAAATGGTTTAAATTATTACAAGACACGAAACGTGTTAAGTTTACCCTGTACTACGTCATATAATAATATATAAAACAATTTTCTGAAACAGTGCTTTTATAAAAAAAACCTGTAACACCACAATCTAGCTAGGATAGAAACATAATTTCTCAGTCTTTATTTTACAAATGTGAAGCGTTTTTTACTCTCCTAATGCGGTTTTGGAATATCAACTTAATTATATTGGATATATATTTTGAATCAAGCTTTGTATCTTATAAAATTTTAATAACTAAATTACAATTTAAATTGTAATATTTATTTATCTATAAAAAACTTTAAAAAAATCAATGTTCGACAGGAATTTCCCAATCACCGTGTATTTCTTCCTGTTTGCCATTTTCAAATTTTTGCATTTCAGTTTCTAAATGCTGCGTTCCATTACCAATAGTGTATTTACCGTTGGTAATAACATTCATTGGTCGGTAAGTGTAGAACACTTCGCAAAAGGCAGAGTCGTCTCGGGGCATAACGTGATTAACGTGTTTAGCTGCTTGCCATGCAGCACCCATTGCGCTAGAAACTCGAAGGCGGACAAGCTCCAGCTCTGTTTTCACCTGCAATTTAAAAAGTCGCCTCTAAATATCAATGCAACATACAATCAGAGAATAAGGGTCAGCGCAAACTGGCGGACGTTAAGGCACAGGACATTGTATAAGTATATTTAATATGAAGTTTGTTGTTTGTATATTACAATGTTTTATTACTATGATATTCAATTATATTTTGTGAAATTACTACTAATGTGATGTTAAGTAGTCGGCCACGACCATGCCGCTTTGAGCGGATTACATCATCCTCGAGTACTCATAAAATTTGTCAGAATATCTTCTGTATTCTTATTTGGATTGCTATATATTTATTTGGATTATTTAATTTGCCTAAAACTTAATCTAATCTTTTTTCAAATAGTTCGTAAGATGAATGAGGGGGTCTGTACACGCTTAATACAACAAGCCGTTCAAGCTCTATGCAGGATATCTCTATAGTCCGTTCTATAGATAGGCTCACAATATATGTACGCTCTTTAAATTTTAAATTGTTTTTAATAAGAACTAAAGAGCCGCTATGAATAGCTTTTTCTCTGCAGAACGAACTAGCCACCTGGTGATTGTTCAAGCTAAGCATGAACTGATGTTTAGATAAAAAGTGGTGCTCAGTAATACAAAGAATATATATTATTACAGGTTAATAAATAATTCTATTTCTAACTCTTTACCTTTCATGACTTGAATATTTTGCTGCACCAGGTTTAATATACAATTTATTTTATTTATGTGTGTTTTAGGTTGGTTGTTTACTGTCACTGTGTTGCAAGAGTATCTCTCCGTTGTCTTATTAATTAATTTAAATAATTAGAAATTGAATTATTTTTTTAACAGATTGATTATTGTCAGCAAACTGACCTATATCAATCGACTGCTCTATAGAAGCAGCCGGTCTGGTAGCCAACGATTTGGCTGAATTATTAATATAATATGATAGCAACTTTGCTATCTTTCTCCTAAAATAACTAGTAAGATAATACCTATCTTTAGTCATATCAAAATATTTACTAATAAAATTATTAGTATCCATAAAATGAAATTCACTAAAATGAAATGTTAAACTGTGCAATGTTTTATTTAAGTTATGCCTCATATTATTTTCACTTGTTGTGAGGCTATTGCTGAAGGGAAAAGCGAACAAAATAATTTCTTTAATATTAACTAAATTATTTAATTGTGAAAAATATTGTATTAAATCTTTTTTGTTACATTTTCCTCTTCTGCCAATTAATATACTGTCTTGGTCAAATTTAGTTGACAAAATACTATCTAATATTTTACAATATCTTGCACCTGCCTTGCAAATATTTATTAATTTTTATTCCTAGGTTAGGTTAAGTAGCAAACCTATATTTTTATGGCATGGACAATGCACTGCTTGCCGCCTTCGCCCCGCATGCCGCGACACACCTAGCTAAGCTAACAGTAAGTAATAAGCGTAAGACGTATATTATATCGAGTTTTTACGTTTTCGGGATTGTTACTCATAGGAAATAAAACTATTTATCAGATCTAAATGGCATGTATTTGCTTTTCAAATAAAGCAACGTTCGGGGCCCTTTACAGGTCCCACAGTTATGGCTACACTAACTAGTTAGAAAAATAGTTTCATATCGTTAATGTATATTTTGTGATAGGTTTTGAAATAAGATATAAATCAAGTCGGTCGGTCTCAAGAGCATTGTAAACTTGAGACCGACCTCGGAGCATCGCGGCGCTTCTCTCTGCGTCTCAGAGTCAGAGCATTGAAATTTATACCTTAATACAATTGTTATAGCATAAAATATACATTAATAAATTTAATTTTCTGTCCTTTGCCGTCCGCCGATTTGCGCTGGCCCTAAAGTATTCGAATACACGCTTTAATGGTGAAGAAATAGGTTCTGATATTTTTAAATCAATCTTTGAATCTTTATTTAGAAAACCATAGCGTTTACTAACCTTTCTTTCAGCAAATCTTTTCAGCACTCCAGGTTGAAGAAGACTCCAGCTCTTCCATACAGAGCCAACACACACAACTCGCATGCGATCCATCTTCGAATGTCTTAATAAAGCTACAATATGATCCGCTAGGGCTGCGCCTGCGTCGATGAACAGCTGTTGGGAAAGACGGTCACCTTGCGAGGCCAGACACGCTAGTTCCACTGTTAAACCTGAAATGTTATATAAGTTTCATAACACTACGACCATTTTGTTGTTCAAATATGCCACAGGCCAAGAAATAAAAAGCTTATTACCTATATTTAAAAGCGTTTTATTTCAATAATTAATAGATTCAGGCGTTATTTTGCGGAAATTCTTCTTAATAAAAATGGAAGTAAATTAATTTGCTACTCCGCGAACCCACTGAAGACGATTTACGTGCAAAAAAGTTGCGCTTGTGTTGTTTATTATTATTATTTAATTAGCCTAATGTGTCCCACTACTGCAAAGGCCTCTCCTCTTGGCTTCCACAGTTTCCTGTTTGAGGCAATGTTAGACTAGTCCTCTACATATGCGTCCAAGTCTTCCCGCCATCTCCTTCTTGGTCTGCCTCGTCATCGCTGGCCGTTCTCCGGCATCCACCAAGTGGCTGTGTGAGCCGATCTCAATGGGTGCATGCGAACAGATGTGTCCGTCCCATTTCAACCTGGCAGTCCTTGTCCCAACAAAGCTTATTATTATTAAAATAAAATCCTTATTTAACCTATTTTATTATAAAAACTAACACGGTTATCACACATTATAATATAAAAGTAACGGGGCTCACGGGAAGCGGTCTGACTAGTTTCGACCATAATCGACGGTCTTATTCAGGGATGGGGTGCAACGTTCGCGACCGCGTCACGTCTAGCACTGCGCGCTAGCTCTCTGCGCGCGCGCCGATGACGCAGTCCGCAGTGGGGAACTCGGGAGGCTGATACGTTGCGTTAGCGCGTTCTGGAACTCTTCTTCGCTACTGCTATCCGTAGGATTGTCGTCGGGAACAGTCCTTACCACTAACATCTGCAGCTGCATACCGAGCGCCATGAAGACACGGCTTGCGCCTGAAGTAGACCATCGATTATGGTCGAAACTAGTCGGACCGCTTCCGACTAAAATACTACGCGAGTAAGTCCCGTTACCTTTACTTTAACCTCCATCTCATCTGTTGGCAAGTGACGATGAGGTTGACGATTTCATGAAGTTAATTTTCCCGCCCTTAATTCTTCCTCCCTGCGTATAAAATAAATAACACAAACGCAACTACAGTCAGAAAAACCATCACGAAACTATAGGTTTTCATCAGCATCGCGGATTGATACCTCGATTATGGGATGACTTTGAAATAGAAATGAAATGCTGTACAATTCTGTATTTGAAGTAGTTTTGTTCAAACAACTGCAACAAACACGTCTACTATTTGATGCCATTTTTAAACACCGACAGAACGCTCCAATTCTATAATCAATAGCGCGTGGGATAACCCGCGCTTTGCAACGTGAGTGCACCGGGAGATTATGCGAATTTGTGCGTCCGTAAAAGACACGCGACAGGCGTGCACATATACAAGTCGCGGTGCTAATTTTGTGTGAAGTTACCCTACTTGTCTTATGAATATAATATCACTGTTATTAAAAAAGATACACGTTATTCCACAACCTCGTAAACGAAGACAGTAAGACATCTTATCAACTCTAATCTTAAATTTATAAAAAAAAACAAACTCACCGGCAAAGTGCGACTTTTGAAAGTCCTTGTATGCATGAGGTAGTAGGTCCATTCTGGTGTCAACGTTGAAATGCCGCTTGATTGCCTCCCATACGCGGTCTGTGGCATAGGAGCATGGTTCCAAGCCGTCCACATCGTCGAAGATTGCTTTCACTGACCGGTGTGCTATCCAATAGGCTGAATAAAAAATGGATTTTTTTCTTAATGCATAATCACGATGACCAACCTATTATACGTCTCCGAGCACAGGTCTTTTCGAAAGATAAAGGTTAGACCATGCCATATCTGGCCCTGTAACTATTGTTCTCCGTCGGACATCCAAAACAATTACCATTAAATAAGTAATACCTTAATCAAATTACAAGCTTCATACTTGACAAAAAATTTACTCGGAACACTGAACCGAATTAGAGAAAATTCTTTCCCCCAAATTGGTCCTACTGGAAATCGAACCCGAAACCTCCTATCCAGCATGGCTAGATGTTGGGGACTTCACAAATTTTCCTAAAATTGTGAACCTTCTTCGAGATCTAGATTTCTTATGTCTCAAGGTGACGGGCACAGTGGCAGTGCCCCTCATATCTTTGTGATTCAAAGCACTGAGTGGCACTGCAATTGTTATGGAGGCGTGTCGCTTAACGCCAGGTGCACGACTTGGTATTACAAAAAAAAAACTAAAGTCATATGTACAGGGATTCGAACTGTTGACCTCTCAGGTGAGAGGTAAACGTCCTCCCACTAAGCTTACACCACTTGCGACATAAATAAAATTACCCACATTCAAAAAATGCTCCGGAGTAACAAAGTCTTAGTTACAATAATTGAGACATGCTTATACAATTCGACGTGGCATGATGAGTTTTCAGTTCAGAGCAAAGAATTTAAAAGATTTGGACACTTATATTCTATGTACTAAGGACGTGCATAGATTTTCCCAAAGCCCTTGACTTCGGTAGAGTGACCGTCAGTTTTTTCCACAAAAACATGTGCATTACATAGCGTCTCACGTCATGCGTAATATTTGTCCGATCAATTCCATACGTACTGAACCCCTTGGGAGTAAACACCTGGATGGCAGGTGTGGCGATTGGTCGCCATCAAATGACGTAATGTGTATTTTTATGCTTTATAAACAACGATGACAAACAATGACATTATTCCATTTTCGTTAACAATTTTTTCATATATTTTATTTTAAGAGCCTAAACTAACAGAAAATGTAATAATCTAAATCAAATCTAATCTAAAAAAATATTATTACGTTCAACAAGCTAACCTAATTAAAAAAAATATTTGTAGGTATTTATTATCTCAACCTACAGAGCCAGGTGCCAACAGTAAATGTAATACAACCCCTGAGATACAAGTAAATCTGTACAGGTCACAACTACTTCGTTAAATAATAAAAACTGTTATATAACATAGTAAAAAATTCTACAAACAAAAAGTATATTAGATATAACAATAATAAAAAGTTGTATTTCAAAAAAGTAATATACTCCGAGTTGTGTTTTTGGGAAATAGAGATTAATATTATTGTCAATTTAGAATAAAAATTATATTATTCAGTAATTTATTTATTACACGGTTCATTTTAATTAGGTATTAATTTTCATCTAATTTAAAAAAAATATAAAAATAACAAATTGTGATTTAATTTGTTAATTTTAAAATGCTCTATGATTAATTAAACAATATTATTTAGGTATACTTGACTACATACCACCACCTTCGTCTCCTAGCAAATGTCCCCAACCCCCACATCCGTACTGTTCGCCATCTGACGTCCTCAACAGTGCGTTCGATCCAGTGCCTGTTGAAAAAAGGAAAATTAATATTTTAAATAGAAAATTACGTAAATGTGAGCTTAGGCGTATTAAAATAAACTATTTTTATATAAATAAATTATTTTTTTAGTTATGTGGCGCATATCGACTTGTCAATTATTTATTATGATCATTTACGGCTCTACCATGTCAAATGAAAACATTGCAAGTTCCAGTAGTGTTTTGTAATTTGCTTATAACAAGAATATAGGGTGTTAACAATTCAAAATAATTAAATTTTTATTGAATTGATATTCAAATATTTTTTGTGAAATTACTCCACTAGTTTGTTATAATTATTAATACAAAGATCTACGATACGACTAAAAAGTCGTTGAAAGACCAAGTACAAAGACACGACGCAAGCACATAGAAAAATTCGTGAGGTCCGTTGGTTCGTTCCGTGGCTTAGTTGGTATAGCGTCTAGCACGGTATGCAAGAAGACGTCGGTTCGAATCCGACCGGATCGAAGGAATTTTTTCTGTGTGTTCTAGTGTTTTTTCTGAGTGTTCGATCTTTGTATTAATAATTATAATTAAAAATAAATTTATTGGATTTCCATGGAAATACCTCATTTTGCAAAGTACAAAGTTAGGTTGCTTTTTTATTTTATTAACCTGAATAATTTCAAAAAATTCTTGTTGAAACCTTTTCTGAAAATACTGTGATTTTGTATATGGTTTCACGAAGAATATTAAATATGGTTTAGTAGCAGTAGAGCTCCTTGTGAAAGGGTTCGTCCAGGGAAGAACTGCACCTTACCTATTTCTGCCGCCAAGCAGTAAGGTTAGTATTACTGTGTTCCGGTCTTGAAGGGTAAGGGTGCTGGTGAAATTACAGGCACATGAGACTTGTCAACTTACGTCTCAGGGTGACGGGCGCAGTGGCAGTGCCCCTCAGATCTTTGCGATTTAAAACTCTGAGTGGCACTGCAAGTGTTAAGGACAGGCGTGTAGCTTGCCATCAGGCGCACGATTCGTTCAACCCGTCACTTGATATTATAAAAAAAAACATCGTCCGTGACAACATAAAAATCATAATTTATAATGTTCGAAAATGATTAGCCAACCGAGTGGTTAGTTTAAATAAAACTATAAATAGCGCACATTTTAGAGTAATCAGCAACGACATAGATAAACGTGTATTTTTTCCGTCTTTAATTTTTTTATTTCAATAATACGCCGTAACATTTTGTGATTTTTTACACCAGCGGTTGCTTTAGCTGTCTTCTACATAACCTAATATTACCATGAACTAATTCTGTAGATGATTGCGTCGACATTGATTTTTATGTTTTTAGTCAGGGTTGTCACTTTCAATCTCGAGTCATTTTATTTAAACCTTGAAAGACACGCTCAATACTTAAAATCTTTTTGTTTAGGATTGCATGATAAGTATGGTAATATAATTAAAAATCACTGTAACTGCATTTAGACTTTACTTTCCACTACACTCATACAGCACTTTACATACAGTGAATGAAAACCAAATAGAAATTTTTATTATAATAGAATTTATTATTCACCAATAGTGCCTTTAACGTTAACAACCCTGATTTAAGACTAACAAAATATGGAGTATAAAACCTTCTTTGTTAAGTCTGTTAAAAATATTTTCATTATGAGACAATCCTCACGCCGAAAAATCCAGATATATGTATTTTGACCGATAACTACAACAATTCATAGTATTAATTAATACTATTATATGATTGCCAGTGATCGTACAGGTAGAGTTTTTTTACCTAAACTGAGACAGAAAATTGAGACTACCTTGAAGACAATTTTTATTGTCCCGATCTTTTCGGGACTCGGGAAATGACTTAAGCACACATTAAAAATTAAACGTTAAAATGTTAATTAAAAATTAACGCTCGATCGAACTCTATCACAAGCTCTAGGGCTACTAAAATACTTATTTATTATTATTATATTTCTTATTAATTTAATACAATTTATCACACACACATAACACATAAAACACAATGCTCCGTCAGAATATAACATCACTATCAAAGACCTTATGTATTGAGGTCCGAAGTCAAGGTGAAAAGGTTATCAAATGACCTTCTGTCCCCGTTTCAAACGAGAATGACCCAATTATGATCCCGAGCGTTGATCAACAGAAGTCACCTTGGCCTCTGATTGACTCAAAGAATATGAGAGCTGCGATTTAAAAGCGTTAGGTTGCTTGTTGAATTCAAACAGGTGTATATTAATTCCAGTTTTTAGGTTTTCGTGTATTGTTACACAATGGAAATAGAAATAAACCCACCCTCGATGCAGGGCCCTTGAAATCGGGTTAACTTTTGAATTAAGGCGCCCTAATTAGGGACCATCACTCCCTACCGCATACATTGAACTAGACAGACTGTATTCTGGCAAATAAACGTTTTCTATTCTATTCTATTCTGAGTGACACTGGAACTGTTAGGGACAGGCGTGACGCTTACTACCAGGCACACGACTTGTTCGTCTCGATACTTAGTATTATAAAAGAAAATCAGGTGGGCGACTTGTTACATCAAATGTGTCTAAAGACGAAAAGGCGGTTCGCCTATAATATGATTTGAGGTATTGTAACACATATACATGTATAGATCTAGTTAACAATAACATTTATTGAGTGATCTTTGCGTTCTACACGTGAAAAGGAAACTTCTTCAATAAATTATGCTTAATAAAGAAGTCTTTGTTAAACATAATAATAATTTATTGTGTATAATTACCAGCGACTTTGTTGTAAAGATGCAATAAAGTCGGATGACAGGATTTTGTTACTGCGACTTTGTTGTTTGTTAATAAAGAATGTTTTAATTGACAATAGCACATTGTTTTCATGTTTTGCCATCATATTCGTAATTATTTTTTTAAACTAATACTTATTGGGGAAAAAAAAACAAAGAGTGAAATAGAGTTTTGAAAGTTCCGCCAAGGAAGCTGTCATTTCTATGACGTACTTCCGGAATAAAAATTTTATTTTTAGCCCAGCACTAATAGTCAACTTCAACTTCAACTTTTGTGTCTATGGCTCCGTCGTTTTGCGCGACGATTTTGCCAATGTCAGGGTTGAGAGACATGTGTAGCGGTAGTGAGACAGATTGCCGGTTATTTAAATACTTCGGCGGTTTTTATTCACAATGACGGTTATATTGTCTTTTTTGAAGACGGAGGAAAACGACACTTGTAGGGTTGCCAGTTTTCACAAAATTTGAAATAGTTATGTAGTTGTTGTCGATAGTTTTATCGATAGATTGTAAAAGAAGATAAAACTTTCCCAAAAATGACTGAGTTGTTGTGAATGTTACGACGTTCTAATGATTACTAATTACGTTATCGCCTTCTTTATTCTTATTTTGACCGTTGGGCTACTAATATCGAGATCAATTTGTATTTATATAAATTTTAACAAGAACCGCCGGATTTAGTTAACTATATTGAATTAAAATGAAAAACTTTAAAATATGTCTCCTCTTTGTATTTCTAAATACCTACAGTTATTTGGAACCCTCACGAGAAAGTCTACGCCCTGCGTCTGGAGAAAATCCAAGACATTTCTGAGATTCTTGTATAAGAAAATTTATGGGTGCTACCCATTTTTATACCCTACGAAATTCCTCCTTTGCGTCGTGGGGTTTAATTATTTAGAAGTAAGACGCAATTATGGTCTACTGACTTTTGCTGGTGGTATATTGCGAGGAGATTCCGATTGCCCAGAATTAAATAATATTAATTAACGGCCACGCGTTCATCATCTGCTGGCAGTGCCGACGGTGCGCACTGTGTCTCAGAGTAAATCACCGCTTGCTCGCGCTCTGCACTGTCTTAATGCCCTTCTTGTATCTGCACCAGACTGTGTTTTTGCTAGTGGATGGGTGGCTGTGTGTGATGAATGTTTGGGGTTTTGTGAAAGGATGGATGAACGTGTCTTCTGTGAATTATTAATACATATGTCTCAAATACAAGGCTATTTATGAGTCTCACAGTGCCTTGGTATTTTGCTGTAATGCTGTGTAATTTTATGCAAAAAATCAATAAAAATACTACTGTCTTCTTGCTACTTGTCACAGTATGGTATAACGGCAAAACACTTTCTTTCTGAAAATAATATATTATTTACTCAGGGAGTATCTATCTAATTACCCATATAGTTTATGCGAGTGCTCTAACACCTGTACGAATATACATCTCTACGCGGCCACGGATGACGCAGTCAAGGTGGCAATATATTCTTCAAAGTCAATATTGCTCTAAAATAAAAGAAGTATCGACAAGATAAGAAAAAGAAACGAAATATGGTCTGCATATTATATTATAATATAAATATACAGAGGAATCTCCATATTATATAAATATACAGAGGAGATCCACGCCAAGCATTGACACGTGCATCTATTACAACTTGATATAGCGCCCCCAACAACAAAGAGACGAAATTTAAAAAAAATCGATACTGAAAAAATAGATAAAAAAGGACGTACCAGAATATGTTCCCTGTCAATAAAGCACATGTTTGCTGTATACAATATCGAGTAATGGAGGATAGTATAGGATAAAAATATATGTGGGGTACACTCACCGGCAATAACGACCATGCCTCCTTCTGGAGCTCCGGTGTACAACGAGCCAACAGTATCAGAAGCAGCATATATCTCCTTAGCACAAGTGGGGTCTTTTTCTTTCACACACGCTACCAATTCGGCGTTGCTACTTTCTTGCTCGCACCCGGATAGCGTCAAGCCCTACGAGCATGAAACATAAAATATCAGTATAAAAGTAATTTCTTTTTTGTGTTTCTATCATCGGTATGATATAGCTTTTCACACCAAGTTTTATGACCTTTTGAACAAGCGAGTATATCCTCTCTCTTCTAACTTGTTGGAAGCATAAAGGAATTTTTTTCAGGGCAGCGTATTTTCCGTTTACATGTTCGGGGACATACAGACAGACCCACACACGGATCGATTATTAAAAGCACTTACCAAACAATCCAAAGGTCTATCTCTAGGTATTCCCATCTCGTCTCTAACCTTGTTGACCATAAAGACAGACCCACAGACGGATCGATTATTAAAAGCACTTACCAAACAATCCAAAGGTCTATCTCTAGGTATTCCCATCTCGTCTTTAACCTTGTTGACCATGGCAATTATTCGGTCAGCACATCCTGGTATGGTGAGCATCCAGTGGTTGGTGCCAGGGCCTTTCGTGCTGCCGATCACTTTGCCGTTCTCATCGCATACAACTAGATTGGAGTGTGTTGCTCCCCTAAAATAAATCAGAAAATGACCATGTAAAACAGAATGAGCAATGAGCAATGAAATCATAGGGAATCTCGCTAAAGCTAAATTGATATTTCCATTCCACTTCTGCATTTAATCATCATCCACAGTCCGACTCCACCTTTTTTTGGGTAGGCCTCCCATAGTTTGTGCCATCCAACACGATCCTGTGCTAGTCTTACCCATCAATTTTGACCCAAGACGATGTAAAAAGATGCAACGAATTGTGGACTGTCAATATAATTTAAACCAGTCGTTATATCGATGAACGTTCAATACCTTCATTGCAAGTTACGAAGTTTTGATTTGAAATTATAAAAAAATATTGAAAAATATTGAAATTTTATTCAACGTACTGCCATCCTGCGGCCTGTAGCTGGGCTACATCATCTGAACAACAGATGTCTTCTTTAACGCATACATTGTGAAATATGTAATGAACATTATTTCGATCAATTAAGTTTAAAATTAACAAAACACTCGTGAAGCATTTTTTTGCACGCCAAAACAATAAGGGATTTTCTTACAATTTTAGTGAATTTGCGCGAAATAATTGACACTACCGTAACCTACAAAGCGAAAATGGCGGACAGGGCTCAAGTAGGCGGGACTGCCCCTGCTGTTGGCATGTGTGCTGCGCTAATTAACCACTTCTACTTTATTGTTCTGTGGTCGTAACTAATGAAAATCATGCTTAGATTTCAAAAGCAAACATCTTCCATAAATCAGCGTATATCTATCTACCTTTTTTAATTATGATTTTTACAAGACATTTATAGTACAAGATCGATGTGGCTCAAAGTGTGCAGGCCAAACTGAAATTTGTTGTCCTGAAAAGTAAACCCAATGAGGACTTGCATGACCTGCTATTTCGTATAGTTTGGAAGTGAAATACTTAATATTTACTTTTATTAAATTTATTTAACACAGTGCACTTAAGATCGGAACAAAGAAGAGCGAAGGCAAGGTAACTCTATTGCCCACATAAACTTACAAAATTTATACTAATGTTGCCAATAAGGACGTTGGAAGCTACCGCTGACTGGTCGAACCCTTCAGGACTACTCACAAACCACTTCAGGAGAAAGATTGTATGTAGATTTGTGCACTCAAAGTCCTCGGCAAGTAACAAAAGGCTATATGAAAATAATAACTAAAAACCTATATTGTTTTTATGAAACCTTTCGATGAAACATAATGAAAGCTCAGTTTAGATAAGATAATATTCATGAGTTAATCGTTATCGTGGCATCGTGTAATAGAAAGATTTGAAGCATTCTATCGCGTTTGTTATTCACGCTATCACTGACGTTGTTTTCGAAGTTGTTTTCATGGTTTTTATAAATAAATGTAGGCACCGTTTTATCTCCTACAAAATGATTGTTATTAATCGCTAAAAGGATGGCGACATGCCGTGTATTTCGTCTCCCAGTGCGTTTGACGACGTGCATTAAAAAGGCCTATCAATATTTGTGATTCATTATCAATGCATCGAAAAAGCTGATTGAGTACATCCTGTAAAAGCTGGGGTTATAAAGTTGATATAGGATATGTTAGCACATTGTAGTAGCAGAAAACAACAAGTTTTCAGTTTGTGGCCAAAAATATAAAGAACTTGTTGAATATTCCCACATCTGCGAAACTCTGCTACATTTTATACAACGTTAACATGTTCTGCCGCAATGGAAATGAATAAAAATTAAATCCGCCCAAATATCAGACCATGGAAAACAAAGTACATGTCATATTGATATATATAAATCAGACGTTATATGCATATGATGCATTTAGACGTTGAAAACATAAACATTTTATTGTCTTTGTTTAACTACTGCGTGTCGTCGAATGACAAAAGAGATAGCACTACATTGATTTGTGTCAAACACGAGAATCGAAAATACGTAATCTTAAATGCCAACTGTCCTCATTTTACCATTTTTGGAGTACCCTTTGACATCCGTATCCGGTCGTCAAAGGAAAGTACATGAGATGTCAAAATCAATGTTTGGCCAAATGTTTTATTGAATTATTCGCATGAACTGTAATAAATTTGGGCAAAAATATTGACAGTGAGAACAATTAAGTATTGATTAAAATGCGTCGCTGCGGTATTAAGGGGTGCGGCAGTAGAAAAGGCGGAAATCAACCGAATGTTACATTACACCACATTATTATTTTTTTGTCTATAAATCACACAATAGCCCAAATATCTGATGTAATTAGACTCATTTAAGTAGTTTATTCATAAGTCTTGCCGAATTTTGCTTTGGTTACTTTAGATTGCGTGTTTGTTACTATATTTGGAAGATTGTTGAAAAGAGGTTGATTATTTTGAGATAGTGTTGTTCTTGTAAGCAGACATATTATCGATGTTCTGTTATTAAAACAATTTACTACGAGGTTATTATTATTATTTTTAAAGTTTAGGTAAATTTTAAAATTACAAATGAAAAAAGAAAGAAAGAATGGTTGGAAATTATAGGATTGCCGAACATAAATATTGAATCAAATATCAACTTCGTTTGCTCGCTCCATTTTGAAGAGTCAAATTTTAATTGAACTTTGAATGTAACTAGATTACATGATAATGCAATTCCATCGTCGTATTTATTGGTAAATAATTTTATATTTAATTTTGAGTAAACAAGAGACATTGCTAGGCATTCTCAGTTCCTTAAAACCATCCACTCGTTTACGATTTTTCCCCACTGACAACTCAAACATTATATAACATGTATTAGATGCACTGACGTAATAATTATAGGTGCCCAATAATAAATAGCAGCAGCTGCAATAACTTGTACGTCATCCATATAGTTTCAATGTAAATGATAACAGACAGCGACCAACGTGTGGGCAGCTACACAAAACTCATCGACAATGGCCGTTTGTAATGCTCTATTTCAAACTTGTCGAGCGTGTAGACAACAGCACTAGCTGCATATCAATTTGCTGAGCTCGCGTTGGCCTAAGCTCGACCAATATGTATTGCAAGAATACTTGTTTACTCTACAGCCAACAGTACAGCCAAATACTTCTAGAATGTTAATTGAAGTGCAGAATATACAGACAACAAATTCAAAATCTCATATCTATCATCCCGGATATTCCCATATGACAATGAATATTGATCTACTTTAATTAAACATTTTAATCATACTTTGATTACAGTAAACTATACAAATTACAAACATAACAAAAAAAAAACATGTTCAACATTCTAGCCATACATTTGCATGTCGATATTGACTTATCGATAATTATGGTACAACACTAAAGAAATCCGCCATTTGTGGTGGACATTTTCCATTTTCAATTCCGTTTAGATAGAGACGTTTATTTCGTAGATAGGGCAGCTCCTTTCCTTTATTTTTTTCCATAAATATGCCACAAATGGTCACGCTGTCTCAATCAAAATGTGACATTGACATTGGCCTCTTGTCAAAACGTTCCTTTGCTAACTTCTTATCTCTCATTTAAATATTGTCTAAACATTTTTCTCAAATTGTGTTTATTTTTTAATTTATGTCATTACTGTTCAATTGATTATTTGATTAGATATTGTTAAGCTTTAATGTTTTATGTATGTAATATAAAATAACCAATACCTTAGGTAGGTAAACATTCATTCATGCATATAATGAAACGTACGTACAAGTACGTACGTTACATAATCTATGATCAAACTAAATCAATTGCGTTGTGTTCTTGCATTTATTCTAAAATACAATGTTTTATAATTTCTTTATTCCGGACTTCGAAAAATATACAAAAATATATTGTTAACTAGGCATAAACTAAAACTTAAAATTAAAAATGGCTCTTCGTTGATTTTATAATTATTAGGTCAGCTTTCAGCATCCTTCCACTCTTAAAAAATTCAGAAGATAAGTCATTTTTGGTATTTAAGTGAAATCTAAATAAATACTTCACTTTAACTTTTTAACAACGCAGACACTTTTATTTAGCACAAACTACTTTAAAGTCAATATCTGATAGAGAAATCACTTGTAGAGAGTGAACAGCCACGTGTGGAACATACTTTCTAATATCGCAGACCATCTATGCTGCACATTATCCTACGCCCAAGTTCAAGATCATAGATATCTTCTTATCTGACGATAACACATCGATGGTTTGCTAGGATTATCAATTACTGGCATGTATTAGGTAAAATATTGAAGATAATGTTTTTGTAAAAACATAACAAACGGGGATAAAAGCGATAAAGGCGATTATATATAAATATAGTGAAACAAAAACTTTATACTAAAGGTTTTTATCAATGGTCGGTAAAAGGTGTTCCACATACATAGATACATGTATACATATAGCTCAAGGAGTGATAGAGAGTTGTTGTTGGTGGTTACCAAATTTTAATTAAATACTTTTTTCGAATTCCGGATCTCCGGAAATGGTTTAACTGCATCGTAGGATGTTGGACGTCTATGTTGTAAGTCATAATTGGATTTTAAAGAATTTTAGTGGTGTCATGTCAAAAAAAAACATTTCATTACAGTAAATCTGCTTGGTGGCAGTACTTCCCTGGACGAAACCTCACAAGATAATGATGAAGATGCTAATAATACTGATGCAGTTGACGATGCTTATATGTATATGGCTATACATATATTTGGAACTCCTTATTCCGACCATTGGTTATTATACAACTTCTGTGTACTTGGATGACAAAAATCCGTGGTAGTAACCCGTTGAGATCTTGGAAGTAGTCTCGATCCATTATGATGTTCGAAAAAAAAAAATTGTACAAATGTTTATTTACAAAGAGCAACCCCTAAAGTTTCTTGTTCATTCTTCTCAGGGGCTGCCTTACGAATGAGCGGCTGAGTTTAATCAGCATGACGATTTCAAGTATAATAATATATGCTTACCTGTGAAATTAAGATTAATATGAATTGATTTAATAAATATTTTAACACGTGCCTCTTAAATCGATATTTTAGTCAGGTGGTGCTACCTTTGCCA